CTAAATTTTTTGAAAAAACTTATTAATTCAAATATTGATTGCCCTCCTTTACTCGGTCAGATTAATTTCCACTCACAGCTATTAACATTACGTCATCCAAACTTGTTTTACCTACCCACTCCTCGTCTTAATGTACTGAAATACTCTCCCATTAGCGAGATGTGCAACAACTACCACCAGTTTTGTGATACCTTTGAACTGTTTTAACAGTTTTAATATTCACCTGCTAGCTGAATAATATACCTTTAGGGCACCACAGTATGATAGCTGTGCTATATTAGCTGCCGGTAATATCAGTTTCATTAATAATTGGACTGTAATTGGGTCATGTACCTGTTGTTCAATTTCAAATAATAATAATAATAATAATAATCATCAGATAACACTTGCCGAATTAATAAATACCATCAATAAGACACACAACTGGAAATCACCAGGACCAGACAAAATCCATAATTTTTGGATAAAAAATTAAATTGTGTACATATTCATTTACTACATCACTTAAATCAGTTCCTTCTTGACCCATCCTCTTTTCCAACATTCTTATGTCATGGTGTAACATACTTAAAACCTAAAGATAACGACGCAAAAAATCCATCAAAATCACATGTTTACCGACAATCTATAAAATATTAACCTCATGCATTACACAAAAAATGTATCAACACTGTTTTAACTCTAACATCATTAATGAAGAACTGAAAGGATGTATTAAAGGATCTTTTGGTTGCAAAGAGCAATTAATCATAGATTCCATCATCTGTGAACAAGCTAGAAAAGAAAACCGAAACATATATACTGCTTTTATTGATTATAAGAAAGCTTACGATTCTGTCCCTCATTCCTGGCTATGCAAAATTCTGGAATTATACAAAATTGATACTAAAATCTGCACTTTTCTCAAATGTTCCATGGAATTTTGGAAGACCACCCTCCAATTAACCTTAAATGAACAAACAATTCAGTCAGATCCAATAATGATCCGAAGAGGAATTTTTCAAGGCGATTCTCTTAGTCCGTTATGGTTCTGCTTAGCAATAAATCCCCTCTCCGATATCCTGAACAGCTGCAATTATTGGTTCAATATAAGCATTAACAAACAAAGAGAAAACAGAATAAGTCACTTGCTGTATATGGCTGACATAAAAATATATGCAAGTACACAAAATCAGTTAACAAACCTATTAAATCTGACTGAACAATTTTCCGGTGATATTGGTATGTCTTTTGGTATTGAGAAATGTAAGACCCAAGCAATCAGAAAAGGCGTGTTTCACCAAGTACCACATATAACACAGAATAAGGAAATAATTGAAGCCCAAGAACGAAACGATACATACAAATATCTGGGTTTCTGTCAATCCTCCCACATCAATCATACCAAAACGAAAACACAGTTGAAAGATCAATACGTAGCGAGATTAAAATTAATATTGAAGACACAGTTAAATGGAAAAAATTTAATGAAAGCAGTAAATACATTCTGCGTTCCACTGCTAACATATTCTTTTGGAGTCATTAAATGGTCCAAAACTGATCTTGAAAATTTAAACATCGCAACAAGGAAAATCTTCACACAGTATAGAAGGCATCATCCAAAATCGTCGATTGAAAGATTCTCATTACCAAGACAGAATGGAGGAAGAGGTTTCCAGAACCTAGAAAACTTATGTCAGAGACAAATCTCAGATTTGAAGAAGTATTTCTTGAAACGAGCGGAAAGAAATGAAATGTTTCGCACCATCACAAGAGCAGATTTGAACCACACACCCTTAAATCTGTCGAACACCGAAGAAATCCACACCCCCCACACAATAGATAAAATAATAAGTGGGCTAAAACAAAAACAACTACATGGAAAATTCTACAAAGACTTAGAAGAAACTCATGTTAATAAGAAGATGTCATTGATTTGGTTAAAAAAATCAGGTTTGTATGCCGAAACAGAAGGATTTGTGTTTGCTATTCAAGACCAAGTAATCAATACCAAGAATTACAAAAAATACATCATCAAAGATCCGAACATAAAAAACGACTGCTGTCGCCTCTGCAAAGCAAAACCTGAAACGATCCAGCACATAATCTCTTCTTGCAGCATCCTAGCACAAACTTAAAGAGTTATTTGGTTTATAATAATAATAATAATATAATTAATAATAATAATAATAATAGGACTTTATTAAATAATAATAGGCGAAGTCTAGCCATAGGCTATTCCACTTAACCTTAGATTTACAAGAAAATAAAACTAACCAAACAGTTTGTACAGAAAAACGGATTAAATATCTAGACAGGAGTCAGCTAGGTAATGATCAAATTAAACAATTTAAACTAATTAAATCTAAATTAAATTAAATTAAATAATCCATAATTAGAAACTAAATTTATACAAATAATAATAATAATAATAATAACAAAAAGTTAACAACAAGCAAGAGAACCACAATAATAAACTTAAACCTAAGTATTAATCAAGCATTTTTTAATTTTTTTCCTAAAACAATTGATGGAAGAACTTGAATTAAACTCTAATAAAAATTTATTGTCAACTTTGATAATATTGTACGTGAAAGATCTCTGAAAGATAGATGTGTAATGCTTTGGCATTGACAGTTCTTTAAGATTCCTTAATGGGAGACTTGAGTTTAACATACTTTTTCTTGTATGAAATTTACAACGCAAGTACGGCGGAGAGTTAGAGGAAAATAACTTGAAAGCAAAGATAGATAGGTGATACTGAAACAATTTGTCAATTTTCATCCAACCAAGCTCACAGATTTTCTGAGACACATGATCAAATTTCCTCAAACCAAAAATGAAACGACAACAATTATTTTGGATTTTTTGAAGACGGTATTTATCAATACTGTCAAGACATGGGTAATATATTACTAGGCAATAATTTATATATGACAAGACAAGAGACTCACATAATTTCTTCCTCAATTTAAAATTGAGTAAAAGGTAATTTGAATAAAGAAGTTTCAATGCTACATAAGATTTTTTAATAATGTTAGAAATATGGGTCTTAAAACGAAAATCGTCATCAATCACCAATCCCAAATTTCTTACAGTATGTAAAACTGGTAGTTTTATGTTATCAAATTTAACATTAATATTGTCAAAAACAACATTTTTAAATTTTCGGGGAGCGAAGCAAATAACTTTGCATTTATTTATATTCAGTTGGAGGTTAATATCAGATGAAACATTTGCTATATTTTGTAAGTCATTATTTATATGGTTAGATGCTATATCAACTTCGTTAGGTAGGAAATGATGCTGCATTTGGGTGTCATCTGCAAAGGCTCTCTTTTTAGATACTGAAGGTATCTGCAACAATTGGGAAGTATATATAGTAAAAAGAAATGGGCCTAAGACCGAGCCTTGCGGTACGCCTGATGTTATTAAGCCAATTTTAGATTTACCAGACTCGGTTACAACTTGTTGATGTCGATTTTGTAAATATGATTTAAAAAACGAAACAGAAATTTGATCGAACCCATAATATTCCAATTTTGTGCAGAGGAGTTGGTGGTCCAAAGTATCAAAAGCTTTTGAATAATCTAAAAGAGTTACAATACTTGCGTGGTTTTTGTCAAGTTCAATCAGGCAATCATCGATAACAGAAGCTAGAGCTGTTGTTGTGCTATATCCTACATCCCTTGCGAAAACCAGATTGATCTTCAGATAATATCTCTTCTTTTACTATAAAATTAAAGATTTGATTATAGATACATTTTTCTAAGACTTTAGATAATGTTGGAAGAATACTTATTGGTTTTAGGTCTTGTGGAGAGTTTACCTCGTCGATTTTGGGAATAGGATGAATTAAAGCCACTTTCCATAATTCTGGAAAGTATCCAGTCTCCAGACAGCAATTAATAATGTGAGTAATTGGCTGAACTATATTAGGACAACATAATTTAATCATGTAAGCAGAGATACCATCAATACCCATAGCATTAGATTTCAGGCTATTTATGATTTGAAACACTTCCTCCTCAGTGGCCAATGAAAATTTAAAGTTACTATTTGGTTTATATTTGATACCTTTTATGTTATTAGCAGCTTCAACACAGTTTTGGGGAGGAGTGAATACTGACAAAAAATATTCATTTATTTCATCAGCACTGAATGTAGATAGATCACATCCTTTAACTTTTTTTTGAATATTTAACTTTTTTAGTGCAACCCATAGTCTTTTTTTGTTTGAAGTATTACTTTCATAATCTAAGTACGCTTTTTTTTCCCGTTTCAGTGCAGCAACCGTAGAATTTCTTAGCTGCTTATAAAATAGCCAGTGCTGAGCAGATTTAGTTTGTTTATATAAACTTAATGCTCGATTTCTTTGTTTCATCAATTCTTTAATAGAAGGGGTGAGCCAAGGTGCATAGGGCTTTGAGATGAACGAGGTTTTGAACGGAGCGTGATAGTCAAATAATTCTAACACAGTTGTGTTAAGGTACCTGATTTTATCTTCAATATTGAGGATGTAATAAATGTTATCCAAAGATTTTTTATTTAAGTCTAACATAAATTTATCATGCAAAAAGTTTTTAAAGTCTCTGTATGTAGTATATTTAGGAGTCATTTATAAAATGTATTTATTTGGTTTTTGTTAACTAGGGAAAAAATTGTATTGTCAAGAATCTTTTTAAGCCCGTAGGGTAAAAAAATAAACACTTACTACTGGTGTGGTTACCTACAACTCCGATTATTTTCTGAGTTTTGTGTCTTATGACACCGTGGGGTTCGTATGGTCCGAAGTAAAGTTTAAGTGCCATAGTGTGACAGATGGTTAATCAAAATATGTCATAAGTAGCTGGAAATTGTGTTAGTGTCACATGTACGATTTGATCCACGGCCAAACTGCAGCGTCCACGGAATTTCGAAAAAAATGCACAAATTACATAAACATCCTTGACACTGGTCCAAGTCCCAGGTGGGTAAATGCGTCTTTCCCCAGATTCCGCGCAAACACGAAACAAAACCACTCGTACAGAAATATGTTTATTTCATATAAATTACAATATGTGCCACAAAAATAACAATCCTTTCTATGATGCAGTTAATAAATAACGCGATAACCTCTATAAAATAGTGTACAACTTACCTACCTAACTTCTGACTAGATTCACTCGTTTTAATAAAATTTGAAAATATACAATAACTAAACGAAAAGGCCTAAGTAAAGCTACTCGATTATCGTAGAAACTTGCCCGCAGCAAGCCACGACACTGACTTAAGCAACAATTACAATAACAATAGTCTTAAGCTAAGCTCAACATTATAAGAAAAAGTAATCATTCGTTTACAATATAGACATACCTGTCAAACTTATCCATGCGATCGGGTGTTAAAAGGCTCTACGTATTTGCACGATAACATTTGAAAGATACTTTGTATTCTAAACTCTAGTAATTATTCGAACATTTTTAAAATATTCGTCGACTTTCGATTTGAGGACAGGCAGTTCTGCATTCGGGACTGCCGTGGATCTAGTAGCTGTGCTCGGGGAGGACGCTCCACATCAGCCTTTTGAACGACCCGCTCTGCTGGATCACATCGGGGTCCCCGATGGAGTTGTTAGTGACGAACGAGGGGTTCTGGTTGACCACGTAGTGCGACGACTTCTAAAAAAAAACAGTGTTTAATTAATCGTTCATTCTTCGAAGGAAATTCAATTTTTAGACGAGGAGAGAGCATGTTTCGCTTCAACTTTTATATCAGTGCGAAGACAGCATTGAGCTCTATGGGAAAGAACGGGTCATTTTTGTTTAAAATTTATGTTTATCAAAATATTTGCTTTTTAAAATATAAAATTTAAAAATCGTGAAATTGAAAAATCGGAGCATCGAAAAATTGGAAAATCGAAAAGTTAAAAAAAAAGATAGAAAATCGAAAATTTTAAAAATCCTTAGATTTAGTTTAGTTAGAAGAACCGAAAACTAGAGAAATCCAAAATCTAGAATTTTAAAAATTGAAAAATTAAAATATCGAAAAGTTGAAAAATTGACAAATCGAAATATAAAACAGCCGAAAATTGAAAAATCTAAAGTTTAAAAAACGAGAAACTGAAAATCGGGAAATCCAGAAGTCGAAAAATCGTAAGCTCATAAAATCGAAAAATTGAGAAATCAAAACCCCGCGAAATTGAAAAATTGAAACACCAAAAAGAAGGAATGGGAAAATAAAAAAGAAGATTACTTCAGAAATAGGAAAACTGAAAATTTAGAAACGTCAAAATTTGAAAAATTGAAAAATCGAAATTTTTAGAAATCGTAAAATTGAAGAGGATAAAAATTGACAAATTGTATCATTGAAACATCGGAAAAGTGAAAAATCGAAAAATAAAAAAATGGAAACACCGAAAATTTGAAGAATGGAATACCTACTTGAAAATGCCCAAAATTGAAACGTCTAAAATAGAAAAATCGAGAAATCTAAAAGCCGAATAATCACGTCGTCTGAGAACTTGTTTGATCTACAGACTAAAGCGCACTGTTTCAAGTTTCGAATTCTCAGTTTTTCGAAATTTTAGTTTGGGGACTCTTCAGTTTACTGCTATTTGTTATTCAATTTTTGGATTTTACAATTTCTCAATTTTTCAATTTCTCGGTTTTCTGTTTTGCTCTTCAATTTTACGATTTTTAAATATTTCGATTTTTCAATTTTTGAGTTTTATAAACTCTTTTCAAGTAATAGATTTTTCAGGTTTTTTGGTTTTTCAATTTTTCTATTTTTTCAGGTTTCGATTTGTCAACTTCACTTTTTTGATTTTTCGATTTCTCAATTTTTCAATTTTTTAATTTCTCAGGTTTTGGACATTTCAGTTTGGGGATTTTTCAGTTTACTTATTATTCAGTTTTTCGATCTTACGATTTTGCAGGTTTTTGATTTTTCAATTTTTCGATTTTTTTGAGGTTTCGATATTTCGACTTCACTTTTTTGATTTTTCGATTTCTCAATTTTTCAATTCTTTAGATTCTCAGTTTTTGGATATTTCAGTTTTGGGGTTTTTCAATATTTCGGTTCTTCGACTTTTCCATTTTTGACTTTTTAAATTTTTCGATGTGTCGACTTTTTACTTTTTCGATTTTTAAACTTTAGATTTCTCAATTTTTTCGCCTTTAAAATTTTCAATATTTAAAATTTTAGATTTTTCGATTTCTCGATTTTTCATTTCAGCTCTTCCATATTTCAATTTTTCAGTTGTTCCGATTTTTTAATCTTTCGATTTTTTGACTTCCCGGTTTTAGATTTTCTGTTTCTCAATTGTCGTTTTTTCAATTATTCGATTTTTAAATTTTAGATTTTTCAGTTTTTTGATATTTTAATTTTTCAATGTTTAAAATTTTAGATTTTTCCATTTCTCGATTTTTCATTTCAGTTCTTCGATATATCAGTTTTTCAAGTTTTCGAATTTTTCAAAGTTTTGATTTCTTAATCTATCGATTTTTCGACTTCCCGGTTTTAGATTTTCTGCTTTTCAATTGTCGTTTTTTCAATTAATCGATGTTTTGATTTTCCCAGTTTCGAGGGTTTCGATATTCTTGGTCTTCGATTCTTTAATTTTTCGATTTTTCAGGTTTTTGATTTTGATTTTTTAGTTTTTTAAAGTCGCGATTTTTCACTTGAATTTTTGCATTTTTCGATTGCTCAATTTTTCGACTTTTTAGATTCTCAGTTTATGGAAATATCAGTTTTCGGATTTTTCAGGTTTTCCATTTTTCAGTTTTTCTTTCATTTTTCAGTTTTTCAATATTTCAATTTTGGGTTTTTTCAATATTTCGATTCTTCGACTTTTCGATATCTGGCTTCTGCAGTTTTCGATTTCTCAATTTTTTGGTATTTTAATTTTTCAATATTTAAAATTTTAGATTTTTCGATTTCTCGATTTTTCATTTCAGTTCTTCGATATTTCAATTTTTCAAGTTTTCGAATTTTTCAAATATTTCGATTTCTTAATCTTTTGATTTTTCGACTTCCCGGTTTTAGATTTTCTGTTTTTCAATTGTCGTTTCGACAAATTTTCGATTTTTTAATTTTTCAAATTTGACTTTCATAAACTCTCAATTTTTCGATTTTTCAATTAATCGATGTTTTGATTTTTCCAATTCGTGACCTTCGAGTGTTTCGATTTTCTTGTTCATCAATTCTTTAATTTTTTGATTTTTCAGGTTTTCGATTTTTCAGTTTTTCGATTTTTTAAGGTTTCTATTTTTCGACTTCACTTTTTTGATTTTTCGATTTTGCAATTTTTTAATTCTTTAGATTCTCAGTTTTTAGATTTTTCAGTTTTTTGATTTTTCAGTTTTTCGATTGGTCAATTTTTCTTTCATTTTTCCGTTGTTTGATATTTCAGTTTTGGGATTTTTCAATAATTCTGTTCTTCGACTTTTCCATTTTTGACTTCAGGATTTTTCGATTTTTAAATTTTAGATTTCTCAATTTTTTGGCTTTAAATTTTTCAATATTTAAAATTTTAGATGTTTCGATTTCTCGATTTTTCATTTCAGCTCTTCCATATTTAAATTTTTCAGTTGTTTCGATTTTTTATTCTTTTGATTTTTCGATTTCCCGGTTTTAGATTATCTGCTTTTCAATTGTCGTTTTTTCAAATTCCCGATTTTTCAATTTTTCAAATTTGACGTTTATTAACTGTCAATTTTTCAATTTTTCAAGTTCTTGACTTTCGAGGGTTTCGATATTCTTGTTCTTCAATTTGTTAATTTTTCGATTTTTCAAGTTTTTGATTTTTGATTTTTTGCATTTTTCGATTGTCAATTTTTCGACTTTTTAGGTTTTCAGTTTTTGGATATTATCTATTTTATTTTCCATTTGTCAGTTTTTCAAGTTTTTATTTTGGCCTCTTTCGGTTTCTCAGTTTTTCCAGTTTTCCATTTTTTCGTTTTTTGATTTATCCGCTTTTCCAATTTTTTAACTTTTAACTTTTTGTTTGTTGATTTCTCTATTTTTCGATTTTTTGACTTCATCATTTTTCGATTTCTCGTTCTTTTGATCTTTCAGTCTCTCAATTTTTCAATTTTTCGAATTTTTAAGTTTTTTGATTTCTCGATTTATCGAGATTTGGATTTTTTGATATTTTGACTGTCAATTTCTTAATTTATAAATTGTTCAATCTTTAACTACTGTACGATTTTTCGATTTTGACCTATTTCGGTTTCTCAATTGTTCGATTTTTCGACTCCACGATTTCCTGATCTTTTGATTTTTCGATTTCTCATTTTTTCGATGTTTCGATTTTTCAGTTATCCGATATTTTAAATTTGGGAGTTCCGATTTCTCGATTTTTCGTTATTCGGTTTTTAAATTTTAGATTTTTAAATTTTACATTTTTTCCATTTTCAGTTCTTCGATGTTTCGGTTTTACGATTTTTTAAGGTTTCGATTTTTCGATTAATCGATGTTTTGATTTTCCCAGTTCTTGACTTTGAGGGTTTCGATATTCTTGTTCTCCAATTCTTTAATTTTTCGATTTTTTAGGTTTTTGATTTTCGATTTTTTAGTTTTTTTAAAGTTTCGAATTTCAGTTTTCGGATTTTTGAGGTTTTCCATTTTTCAGTTTTTCGATATTTCAGTTTTGTGATTTTTCAATATTTCGATTCTTCGACTTTTCGATTTTTGGCTTCTGGAGTTTTCGATGTGTCGATTTTTTTAATTCTCGATTTTTCATTTCAGTTCTTCGATATTTCAATTTTTCAAGTTTTCGAATGTTTCGATTTCTTAATCTTTTGATTTTTCGACTTCCCGGTTTTAGATTTTCTGTTTTTCAATTGTCATTTTGTCAAATTTTCGATTTTTTAATTTTTCAAATTTGACTTTTATAAACTCTCAATTTTTCGATTTTTCAATTAATCGATGTTTTGATTTTCTCATTTCTTGACCTTCGAGTGTTTCGATTTTCCTGTTCTTCAATTCTTTAATTTTTTAATTTTTCAATTTTTTGATTTTTCGATTTTTCAATTCTTCGGCTTTTCTACTTATGATTTCTGGATTTTTCGATATGTCTACCTTTTTACTTTTTCGATTTTTCAATTGTTGGATATTTAAATTTTAGATTTTTCAGTCTTTTGATATTTTAGTTTTTCAATATTTCTTAATCTTTCGATTTTTGGACTTCCTGGTTTTAGATGTTCTGTTTTTCAATTTTTCGATTTGTTAATTTTTCATTCCCGATTTATCGAGATTTGCCTATTTCGCTTTCTCAGTTTTTCCAGTTTTCCACTTTTTCGTTTTTTGATTTTTCCGCTTTTCCAATTTTTCAACTTTTAACTTTTGTTTGTCGACTTCATCACTTTTCGATTTCTGGTTGTTTTGATCTTTCAATCTCTAAATTTTTCAATTTTTCGAATTTTTAAGTTCTTTGCTTTTTCGATTTCTCAATTTTTCAATTCTTTAGATTCTCAGTTTTTGGATATTTCAGTTTTGGGGGTTTTCAGTTTTTCTTTCATTTTTCGCTCTTTCGATATTTTTTTTAGTTTTGGGATTTTTCAATATTTCTGTTCTTCGACTTTTTCATTTTTGACTGCTGGATTGTTCGATATGTCGACTTTTTACTTTTTCGATTTTTAAATTTTAGAATTCTCAATTTTTTGGCCTTTAAATTTTTCAATATTTAAAATTTTAGATTTTTCCATTTCTCGATTTTTCATTTCAATTCTTCGATCTTTCAGTTTTTCAAGTTTTCGAATTTTTGGCTTTTGGAGTTTTCGAAGTGTAGATTTTTTTACTTTTTCTATTTTTCGTATGATATTAACAGTGAGAAAAATTGAAAAATTAAAATAATCGAAAATTCGAAAAATTGAGAAATCTAATAATCGAAAAATCAAAACCTTAAAAAATCGTAAAACCGAAACATTGAAAATTCGAAATATCGGAGAACTGAAAATCGAAAAAATGTAAAATTTAAAAATCCAAAATTTAAAAGACGAATATCGAAAAATCGAGAAATCAAAACACTTAAAAATTCGAAAAATTGAAAAATTGAGAGATTGAAAGATCAAAAGAATGAGAAATCGAAACAAAAAGTTAAAAGTTGAAAATTGGAAAAGCGGAAAAATCAAAAAACGAAAAAATGGAAAATTGGAAAAACTGAGAAACCGAAATAGACCAAAATAAAAAATTGAAAAACTGATAAATCGAAAACCAGAACAATCAAATCTCGATAAATCGGGAACGAAAAATTAACCAATCGAAAAATTGAAAAAGAGAACAGGAGGTCGAAAAATCGAAAGATTAAGAAATATTGAAAAATTAAAATATCAAAAAACTGAAAAATCTAAAATTTGAAAATCCAAAAATTGAAAAATCGAAAAAGTAAAAAGGCAGACACATCGAAAAATCCAGAAGTCAGAAATAGACAACCGAAGAATTGAAATATTGAAAAATCCTAAAACTGAAAAATCGAAAAATCAAAAAAGTGAAGTCGAAAAATAAAAACCTAAAAAATCGAAAAATTAAAAAATTGAAGAACAAGAAAATTGAAACACTCGAAGGTCAAGAAATGGGAAAATCAAAACATCGATTGATTGAAAAATCGAAAAATTGAGAGTTTATAAAAGTCAATTTGAAAAATTAAAAAATCGAAAATTTGACAGAATGACAATTGAAAAACAGAAAATCTAAAACCGGGAAGTCGAAAAATCAAAAGATTAAGAAATCGAAATATTTGAAAAATTCGAAAACTTGAAAAATTGAAATATCGAAGAACTGAAATGAAAAATCGAGAAATCGAAAAATCTAAAATTTTAAATATTGAAAAATTTAAAGGCCAAAAATTGAGAAATCTAAAATTTAAAAATCGAAAAAGTAAAAAGTCGACACATCCAAAAATCCAGAAGTCAAAAATGGAAAAGTCGAAAAACAGAAATATTGAAACTCTCCAAAAACTGAGAATATAAAGAATTGAAAAATTGAGAAATCGAAATATCAAAAAAGTGAAGTCGAAATATCGAAACCATAAAAAAAATCGAAAAATTGAATAATAAGTAAACTGAAAAATCCCAAAACCGAGAAATTGAAAAATTGAGTAATTGTAAAATCCAAAAATTGAATAACAAATAGCAGTAAACTGAAGAGTCCCCAAACTAAAATTTCGAAAAACTGAGAATTCGAAAGTTGAAACAGCAAGAAATTATGGTCAAAACCGGTTAAGATATGTATCAGATTACGGATCACGGCTTTTAGATTTTTCGATTATTTTACTTTAGACGTTTCAATTTTTCAGTACTTCAATTTTGGGCATTTTCAATTTTTCCATTCTCCAAATTTTCGGTTTCTCCATTTTTTTATTTTTGGATTTTTTAATTTTCCGATGTTTCAATGATACAATTTCTCAATTTTTAGCCTCTTCAATTTTACGATTTCTAAATATTTCGATTTTTCAATTTTTGAATTTTTCAAATTTTGACGTTTCTAAATTTTCAGTTTTCCGATTTCTGAAGTAATCTTTTTTTTCCCATTTCTTATCAAAGTTTCGATTTTTCACTTCTTCAATTCTTCAATTTTTCGATTTTTCAGGTTTTTGATGTTTCAATTTTTTGGATTTCCCGGTTTTCAGTTTTTCGTTTTTTAAACTTTAGATTTTTCAATTTTCGGCCGTTTTATATTTCGATTTCTCAATTTTTCAACTTTTCGATATTTTAATTGTTCAATTTGTAAAATTTTCAAATTTTTGATTTCTCGAGTTTCGGTTCTTCTATCTTTCAATTTTTCAATTTTCGGGATTTCTAAAATTTTCGACTGGGGACCCTCAATAATTTAATTTTTTAGAATCCCGTAAATTAATCCCATTTACCCCGTCTATGAAAAAAATGACAGCGACAACTCAATTTTGTGACGAGACCCGCCCACGCCCCACTTTTTTCCTTCGTCCCACAGACCAACGCACACTTTCGACCTCGGATTTTTATAAGACTGTATATATAATACGCGTTACAATGCAGCTTCGTTGCAAAAGCACCCAGTGACGTACTTGGCAAGAAGGCCCGAAACTAATTATTTCTATTTACCTTGGCCGGGATTGTCTTGTTGGGCGCGTAGATCCTGCTCTGCGGCGGCACGTTTACCTCTTGCACCAGCTCGCCGAGTTGCTCTTCCTGGACTGCTTTGTACGTCTCGCTCTCAGACGGGTTGAACTTCACGTGCTTGCGGACGCCACTGGAAAAAAAGCGCTACAGTCCGAACCGCTGCGACCGAGCGTAACAAAGTAACAAGTCGTACGTGATCTTGAAATTCTATTGAAATTTGCTCGAAGTACTCAAGATCATGAACGTTTGGAGCTGGGCCATTTGGGAGTGAGGCCAGATCGATAAAATGATATAGTGTTGCGGTTTTAAACGAAACCGTATTTCAAGGTGATTTTTTTTTAGGAGAACTGTCGGTTGGGGTTGCGAAATTGGAGAAAACGGAATTTGGCGATTATTAATGGAGTTGAGGTTATGTGATCAAAGATCAAAGAATGCGGGTTATGTGGCTGACAGAAGTATTTTTAGAGATCATCTGGCATTTTCGCGAACGCATGGCCTAGTTCATAACGTAGCTTTTATTTTTGTTTACTTTGAGCTGGAGCAAAGTGGCTTAACTTTTTCAAGTTTTTTCCAAAACAAAACACCACAGGTCCTAAAATTCTTTTAAATTATTCAAAATAAGACACTGGAAATGCCATGATTTTTCCAAATTTTTTCAAAAAGGAAACATCAAAAGTCCAAAAATTTTTCGTTTTCTGTTTAATGAAAACAGCAGAGGTCTCTAAGACTTAAAAATAATACAATTGTACTCCAAGATTCGTGGTTCTTTCTAAAATAAAGCACTAAAGTCCTTCAACGTTTTTTTTAATTAAATTTCAGAAATTATACACCAGGAGCCTCAAGTTTCTTTAAAATCTTTAAAAAAGGGCACTGAAATTTCGAAGATTCTTTCCAGTTTTTTAAAAACGGAACACGAAGGGTCCAACATTTTTTCAAATTTTTTAAAAATGAAAACTACAGGGGTTTCTAAAATTGTTTTAATTCTTAAAAAAATTGTAAGCCCTGAGAATTTTCAACTTTTCCCTACTTTTTCCTAAACAAAGCATCATGGTCTCTAAGATTTTTTCAGAATGTTTAAATTTCAGGAACCACACACCAGAGGCCCAAGGATTTTTTTAGACTTAAAAAAAATAACAGTGGGGATTCCAAGATTATTTCCAATTTTTTTCAAAAACGGAACATAAAAGATCCAAAATGTTTTTATTTTTTTTAAGCAAAACAACATGAACCTCTAAGATTTTTAAATTCTCAAAACAAAAAAAATTGTACCCCAAGATTTTAAGCTTTTTCAAATTCTTTCCAAAACATAGACGTCAAAGCCCACAAAATTTTTTGAAATTATTTAAATTTCAGAAATCACACTACGAGCTTCAAGATTCTTTTAATTCTTAAAAAAAAGACACTGAAGAGCCCAAGATTCGTTCCAGGATTTTTCAAAAACGTAACACCCAGGGTCCAAGATTTATTCAGATTTTTTAAAAATGAAAACAACCCCGTTTTAAAATTCTTAAAAAAATGTAATTCTTAAGATTTTTCAACTTTTCCCTATTTTTTCCTAAACAAATCACCATGGTCTCTAATATTTTTTCAGGATGTTTAAATTTCAGAAACCACAGACCAGGGGCCCAAGGATTTTTTGAAACCTTAAAAAAATGACAAAGGGGATTCCAAGATTATTTCCAATTTTTTTCAAAAACGGAACATAAAAGATCCAAAATGTTTTTATTTTTTTTTTTAAATAAAATATCACGGCCCTCTAAGATTTTTAAATTCTCCAAACAAAAAAAAATATACACCAAGATTTTTCAGCTTTTTCAATTTTTTTAAAAACAGGCATTAACGCCCACAAAATTTTTTCAAATTATTTCAATTTCAGAAACTACACACCGCGAGATTCAACAGTCTTTTAATTAAAAAAAACACTGAAGGACCCAAGATTCTTTCCAGAATTTTTCAAAAACGGAACACCCAAATTTTTTTTAATGAAAACGACCTCGGTTTAAATTCCTAAAAAAAATTGTATCTCAAGATTTTTCAGATTTTTCAAAAATTCCTAAAACAAAGCACCAAAGTCCAGAAATGTTTTTCAAATTATTCAAATTTCAGAAACGAGCTTCAAGAGTCTTTTACTTCTTAAAAAATTGACCCTGAGGATTTTTAATGAAAACCAAAGCTAGTTTTAGATTCTTAAAAAAATTGAACCCCAAAATGTTTCAATTTTTCCAAATTTGTTCCTAAACAAAGCACCAGAGTCCTAAAGGTTTTTTCAGAATGTTTAAATTTCAGAAACCATATGCCAAGGGACCCAGAATTCCTTTAAATATTAAAAAAATGACACTGAAGATTCCAAGACTCTTTCCAATTTTTCCAAAAACGGAACACCAAGGACCCAAAATTTTTTTAATGAAAACAACAGGGGTTTCTAAAACCGTTTTAATTTCTTAAAAAAAAATCGAAGCATAAGATTTTTCAACTTTTAAACAAATGAAAGTCAGAATTCTGAGATTATTTCCAATTTTTTTCAAAAACGCAACATCAAAGATCCAAGATTTTTTTATTTTTTTTAATCAAAACAACAACAAAAAATTGTTTGTCAAGATTTTTCACATTCTTTCCAAAGCAAAGCACCAAAGTCCACAAAATTTTTAAGATTTTTCAACTTCTGCAAATTTTTCTTAAACAAAAGACCAAATTAAATTTCAGAAATCACACGTCAAGTGTGCTAGGATTTTTTTATATCTAAGAAAAAATAACGCCGAGGATTCAAAAATTCTTTCCAATTTTTTCAAAAAAGATCCAAGTTTTTTTCAGATTTTGTTAAAATCAAAACGGAGGTCCTTAAGACATTCAAATTATTAAAAAAAAAACACAATTGTGCTCCAAGATTTTTCGGCGTTTTCAAATTCTTTTCGAAACGAAGCACAAAAATCCCCAAAATTTTTTCAGATAATTTAATTTTCGGAAACCACACACCAGGAAATATACATATCAAGATTTTTTCCAGTTTTTTTCAAAAACGGAATACCAAGGGCTTAAGTTTTTCTCAATTTTTTTCAAAATGGAAAACGACAGGAGTCTCTAAGACAGTTTTAAATTCTTAAAAAAAATTTGAAGATTTTTCAACTTTTTCAGTTTTTTTCGTAATCAAAACCCCAAAGTCCGAAAGATTTTTTCAGAATGTTTAAATTTCAGAAACCACAAGCCAGAGGGTAAAGGGTTCTTTTAAATCTTAAAAAGTGGCACTGAAGATTCCAAGATCCTTTCCAATTTTTTTTGCAAAAATTTAACAACAAAGATCCAACATTTTTTCATTTTTTTAATGAAAACTTCTATGACTTTTAAATTCTTAAAAAAAAACGAAATTGTACCCCAAAATTTTACAATTTTTCGAATTATTTCCAAAATGAAGCAGCAAAGTCTTCAAATTACTTACATTTCAAAAATCATACACCAGAAGCCTCAAATTTTTTTTAATTTTTAAAAAAATGACACTGAAGATTCCAAGATTCTTTCAAGTTTTTTCAGAAAAGGGACACCAAATACCCAAGATTTTAAAAAAATTCTTTTTTAATGAAAACAACAGGGGTTTTTAAAATCGTTTTCATTTCTTAAAAAAAAAAATCGAAGTATAAGATTTTACAACTTTTGCAAATTTTTCTTGAACAAATGACCAGAATCTCCAAGACTTTTTCAAAATGTTCAAATTTCAGAAATCCAGGGACCCTAAGATTCTTTCAAACCTTAAAAAAAATGACAGTGAGGAATCTGAGATTATTTCAAATTTTTTTCAAAAACGCAACATCAAAGATCCAAGATTTTTTCATTTTTTTTTTTTTAATCAAAACAACACAAAAAAGTTGTTCCTCAAGATTTTTCAAATTTTTTCTAAAACAAAGCACCAAAGTCTACAAAATTTTTAAAAATTTTCAACTTCCACAATTTTTTCTTAAACAAAAGACCAAATTAAATTTCAGAAATCACACGTCAAGTGTGCTAGGATTTTTTTATATCTAAGAAAAAATAACGCCGAGGATTCAAAAATTCTTTCCAATTTTTTCAAAAAAGATCCAAGTTTTTTTCAGATTTTGTTAAAATCAAAACGGAGGTCCTTAAGACATTCAAATTATTAAAAAAAAACACAATTGTGCTCCAAGATTTTTCGGCGTTTTCAAATTCTTTTCGAAACGAAGCACAAAAATCCCCAAAATTTTTTCAGATAATTTAATTTTCGGAAACCACACACCAGGAAATATACATATCAAGATTTTTTCCAGTTTTTTTCAAAAACGGAATACCAAGGGCTTAAGTTTTTCTCAATTTTTTTCAAAATGGAAAACGACAGGAGTCTCTAAGACAGTTTTAAATTCTTAAAAAAAATTTGAAGATTTTTCAACTTTTTCAGTTTTTTTCGTAATCAAAACCCCAAAGTCCGAAAGATTTTTTCAGAATGTTTAAATTTCAGAAACCACAAGCCAGAGGGTAAAGGGTTCTTTTAAATCTTAAAAAGTGGCACTGAAGATTCCAAGATTTTTTCCAATTTTTTTTCAAAAATTTAACAAGGATCCAAAATTTTTTCATTTTTTTTAATGAAAACAACAGGGGCTTCTATGACTTTTACATTCTTAAAAAAACGAAATTGTACCCCGAGATTTTTGAATTTTTTCAAATTCTTTCCAAAATAAAGCACCAAGGTTTTTAAAAATTCTTCAAATTACTTAAATTTCAAAAATCATACAACAGAAGCTTCAAAATTCTTTTAATTCGTAAAAAATGACACTGAAAATTCCAAGATTGTTTCCAGTTTTTTCAGAAAAGGGACACCAAGGATCCAAGTTTTTTCAGGACCAGCTTCCCCAAAATTGTTTTCAAATTATTTAATTTCAGAAACGATCTTCAAGATTCTTTTAATTCTTAAAAAATTGACAGTGAAGATTAAAAGATTCTTCAGTTTTTTTAAAAACGGAACACCAAGGACCTAAGTTTTTTTATATTTTTTTTATTGAAAACAAAAGACAATTTTAAATTGTTAAAAAAAAATTGGACTACAATTTTTTTTAATTTTTCCAAATTTTTTCCCAAATGTGCTAGGATTTTTCTAAACCTAAGAAAAAATAACGCTGAGGATTCAAAAATTCTTTCCAATTTTTTCAAAAAAGAACCAGGTGTTTCAAATTTTGTTAAAATCAAAACGGGGGCCCCTAAGACATTCAAATTATTAAAAAAAAACACAATTCTAATCCATTCAGATTATTTAATTTTCGGAAACCACACACCAGGAGCCTTTATTTTTTTTTAACCCAAGATTTTTTTGCTTTTTCAAATTCTTTAAAAACGGGCATTAACGCCCACAAAATTTTTTCAAATTATTTAAATTTCAGAAACTATACACCGCGAGATTCAAGATTCTTTTAATTAAAAAAAATAATATTGAAGGACCCAAGATTCTTTCTAGAATTTTTCAAAAACGGAACACCCAGATTTTTTTTAATGAAAGCAACCTCGGTTTAAATTCCTAAAAAACAATTGTATCTCAAGATTTTTCACATTTTTCAAAAATTCCTAAAACAAAGCACCAAAGTCCAGAAATGTTTTTTAAATTATTTAACTTTCAGAAACGAGCTTCAAGATTCTTTTACTTCTTAAAAAATTGACACCAAGTTTCTTCAGAGTATTTTCAAAAAGGAAACACCAAGGACCTAAGTTTTTCATTTTTTTTTTAATGAAAACCAAAGCTAGTTTTAGATTCTTTAAAAAATTGAACCCCAAAATGTTTCAATTTTTCCAAATTTGTTCCTAAACAAAGCACCAGAGTCCCAAAGGTTTTTTCAGAATGTTTAAATTTCAGAAACCATACGCCAACGGACCCAGAATTCCTTTAAATATTAAAAAAATGACACTGAAGATTCCAAGACTCTTTCCAATTTTTCCAAAAACGGAACACCAAGGACCCAAGATTTTTTTATTTTTTTTTTAATGAAAACAACACGGGTTTCTAAGACCGTTTTAATTTCTTTAAAAAAAATCGAAGCATAAGATTTTTCAACTTTTAAACAAATGAAAGTGAGAATTCTGAGATTATTTCCAATTTTTTTCAAAAACGCAACATCAAAGATCCAAAATTTTTTCATTTTTTTTTTAATCAAAACAACAACAAAAATTGTTCCTCAAGATTTTTCAAATTTTTTCTAAAACAAAGCACCAAAGTCTACAAAATTTTTAAAAATTTTCAACTTCCACAATTTTTTCTTAAACAAAAGACCAAATTAAATTTCAGAAATCACACGCCAAGTGTGCTAGGATTTTTTAAACCTAAGAAAAAATAACGCCGAGGATTCAAAAATTCTTTCCAATTTTTTCAAAAAAGTTCCAAGTTTTTTTCAAATTTTGTTAAAATCAAAACGGAGGCCTCTAAGACATTCAAATTATAAAAAAAAACACAATTGTACTCCAAGATTTTTCGGCTTTTTCAAATTCTTTCCGAAACAAAGCACAAAAACCCCCAAAATTTTTTCAGATTATTTAATTTTCGGAAACCATACACCAGGAGATAAATCAAAATTTTTTACAGTTTTTTCAAAAACGGAATACCAAGGGCTTAAGTTTTTCTCAATTTTTTTCAAAATGATAAACGACAGGAGTCTCTAAGACAGTTTTAAATTCTTAAAAAAAAATTGAAGATTTTTCAACTTTTTCAGTTTTTTTCGTAATCAAAACTCCTGAGTCCGCACGATTTTTTCAGGATGTTTAAATTTCAGAAACCACACGCCAGAGGGTAAAGAGTTCTGTTAAATCTTAAAAAATGACACTGAAGATTCCAAGATTCTTTCCAATTTTTTTCAAAAATTTAACAACAAAGATCCAAAATTTTTCCATTTTTTTTTTATGAAAACGTCTATGAGTTTTAAATTCTTCAAAAAAAAAAAAACGAAATTGTACTCCAAGATTTTACAATTTTTCAAATTCTTTCCAAAACGAAGCAGCAAGGTCTTCAAATTACTTAGATTTCAAAAATCATACACCAGAAGCCTCAAAATTCTTTTAATTCTTAAAAAAATGACACTGAAGATTCCAAGACTTTCCAATTTTTTCAAAAACGGAACACCTGGAACACCAAGGACACAAGATTTTTAAAAATTTCTTTCTTAATGAAAACAACAGGGGTTTTTAAGACTGTTTTGGTTTCTTTAAAAAAAATCGAAGCTTAAGATTTTTCAACTTTTGCAAATTTTTCTTGAACAAATGAACAGATTCTCCAAGACTTTTTCAGAATGTTTAAATTTCAGAAATCACACGCCAAGGGTCCAAAGGCTCTTTCAAACCTTTAAAAAAATGACAGTGAGGATTCTGAGATTATTTCCAATTTTTTTCAAAAACGCAACATCAAAGATCCAAGATTTTTTCTTTTTTTTTTAATCAAAACAACAATAAATTGTTCCTCAAGATTTTCCAAATTCTTTCCAAAACAATTTTTCAACTTCTGCAAATTTTTCTTAAATAAAGACCAGAGTCCCCATGATTTTTTCAGAACGTTTAAATTTCAGAAATCACACGCCAAGTGTGCTAGGATTTTTTTAAACCTAAGAAAAAATAACGCTGAGGATTCAAAAATTCTTTCCAATTTTTTCAAAGAAGAACCAGGTTTTTCAAATTTTGTTAAAATCAAAACGGGGGCCCCAAAGACATTCAAATTATTAAAAAAAACACACAATTGTACTCCATGATTTTTCAGCTTTTTCAAATTCTTTCCGAAACAAAGCACCAAGGTTTTCAAAAATTTTTCAAATTACTTAAATTTTAAAAAACCATACGCCAGAAGCCTCAAAATTCTTTTGATTCTTAAAAAAATGACACTGAAGATTCCAAGATCCTTTCCAGTTTTTTCAGAAAATAATAATAATAATAATAATAATAGTACTTTATTCCAGCAGACAATAGTCTATAGTAGATTACTTTCCAACACACAGTTTCACAAATTTTAAATATATATATAAAAAAAAATACAAAATACAATACAAATATAATAAAAAAAAAACAACGAAATTAATTAATCACATTAAAACAATTACACTTATAATAATAAATAAATAAAGGGCAATAAAGGGAAACCAAGGACCCAAGTTTTTTTTCAGGACTAGAATCTCCAAAATTGTTTTCAAATGATTTAAATTTCACCAAGGTTATTTTAAATTTTTTGAAAAACGAAACATCAAGAGCCCCAAATTTTTTGTTCAAAAACAAACTACCACAGACGTTCAGAAAGCAGAAATAGGTTTATTAAATATTTTCAAAACTGAAACTACTGATTTACTTCTTTAAATTTTTTCTGTAAAATAGCAAACAAAAAACCTCTTGTAATCTTAATCTGGAGTGGAGACATACTGTATATTAGTTGTTTCTTAGGTAAATGTAAAAATTTTGCGGTAGAATTTTTAATTTTTCAAAAAAAAAAAATCAGCCACGCTGCGTTAATAAAACTAAACACTATTAACCATTTCTAAAATTCGCCACAAGTGACTCAGCAAATGACAGACATAACCTCAAACGTCCAAATAATCGTGTTACCAACATAAATCAACAGGTAGGTGTATTTGAATCACCAATCCGTACACAAACACCCAATAATGCGTCAAAATTGGCCGTTTTATTTCGTAAAATTAGCTGAGCTAAAATATATAAGTAATTTTATCCCTCGGAAACCAATCTGGTCGCCCTTAATGTGCAATAACCCAATTCTAATTTCATGCAATTTGCTCAGACCCCACACCTACTAAATATATTTTATTATTGCATCATGTGCGGCCTATTAATAGTTTATTTTCTAGAAAATAATCTCAACCACATTCGATATTTTAAACACCGAACGAATTGTTACTATTATTAAACTGTCAACAAAAAAAAAAAAAAACGCAGACGTAAATTTACGAAACTCTCGAACCCACCATTTCCGTTAAAAATAGCCAAAAATGTATTTTTCGAAAACCTGACCTAGTTAGTCGCAAGAGCGTCCACTGAATGAACCCGACGCCCCAATAACTCGTTCCTTTGTTGGCACCGAGCCCGCTGTTTAGTTTAATTAAACGTCTCTTCTAGCCGCGTCTAAATTTTCGCTATAAACGTCAGCGCATAAATTAATTCGGCGTAAATCAGTGCGACCGACACATCAAAAAAGTCCCCGACAGTTGGCACCACCGTCCGACATAAATCCGAAAAATCGAACGAAAACGGGCACGCTCCCAAAATAGCCCCAATCTGTCATAAACACGATTTTTATTGACTTACGGAGTTGCGCCAGTTTGCTTCTGAATGGTGTCAGCGATGTTTGGCTCGCTGTAGAGGTTGATGGGAGAGTTGAACTGCTTGTGGACGATCTAGAAGAACATTGGATTTAGTATACAGATGTAGATGGAGCGACAAGCACACGACACACGATTAGAACAAAAACGGCCCCGTCCACTTTGGGCACTTTTCAAAAAATAAAAAAAAACACAAAAACATAATAACCTGCTTGTTGGGGTCGTTGGCGTTTAATCTTTCCAAAACAGTGTTGGTAACCTGTTTTAACAAAAAAATCAATGAATGGTGCTATCTACTCTAGTCTACTTCAAAAAGTGTGAGGGTTAGCGGTAACGTGGGGGTTAAGGGCGACGTTCACCTTCTGTCTGATTAAGAGTTCGGGATCGAGGTGGTGCGGAGGCGCCCTTACGGCAGGGTTGGGGTGGTGTCTCAAGTAACTCTCCGTCGGTCCGGGTTCACGCTTCACTTTGGCTCCGGGGAGCACCAGAGGGGTGGTACGGTAGGGCTACAACAAAAGGTTGACATAGGAGGTGCACAAAACTCACACTGGTACAAAGTACTTACACATACAATTTCTATTCTACAAAATTAGACAAGAGGTTGTTGGTAATACTATTGTGAAATGGTCAAAATTTGTGGAGAGTTTCAAGAATTTATCACTAATGTCAATATTGGAAAACAAAGATATTATTATTATTATGTTTAGAATCATTTTCAATGAAGGCTATAATTTTCGATGGATTTGATGAAAGCGTTGAAAATTTTGAGAGTTACAAACATTCAATTTCGCTCCTATACAAAATAAATATTTAAACCTCTGGGTTACATACGAATACTTGTTATATATAAAAAGAAGTTCAATTTTTCAGTCTTCCTACTTTTTCCATTTTTTGATTTTTGAATTTCCCGCTTTTCGAAATTTCGATTTTTTTTCCTTTTTTTCAATTGCAGGATTTCTCGATTTTTCCATTTTGCGCATTTGTCAATGTTTCGATTCCTGAATTTCGTGATTTTTCGATTATTTATTTTCTGCTTTTTCGATTTCAGTTTATAGACTTCTCAATTTCTCGATTTTTCGTTTTTTTGATTACTCGTTTGCTCGAATTTTCGATTTTTTGATTTTCAGATTTCTCGATTTCTGTATTTTTCCCTTTTAGGCTTTCCGATTTTTTGATTGTGGATTTTTCGATTTTTCTAATTCTCAAATTTTCGTTTTTCCTTTGTTAGATTTTTAAATTTTTTTGAATTTTTGATTTTTCGTAGGTATTCTTAATTCTCTCAGGTCATCAGTTCTTCTATATTTCAATTGTTCAAGTTTCCGAATTTTTAAATTTTCGACTTTTCTTTTTTTTAATTTTTTGTTATTTCTCGGTTTATCGAATTCAGATGTTTCAATGTTTTGATTCTTCAATTTTTCAATTTTTAGCGTTTCTTCTCGGCTTTCGACTTCTCGATTTCTCGTGCTTTTTCGATTTCTCGATGTCTCAGTTACTAAATTTTTCGATGTTTCGATTTTTGGATTTCTCGAATTTTGATTTTTTACTTTTTAGCTTTTCAATTTTTCGATTTGTCGATTTTTAGTTTTTCGTTTTTTAAATTTTAGATTTTCGAAATTTTATTTTTTAATTTTTTGATGTCTGGATTTCTCGATTTTTCAATTTCACGATTTTTTGATTTTCCATTTCTCTTCAATTCTTCGATTTTTCGACTTTGCTTCAATGGTTTTTCTATTTCTCAATTTTCTACTTTTCTAATTTCTCAATTTTTGGATATTTCTTTCAGTTTTGGGATTTTTCAATATTTCAATTCTTCGACTTTTCGGTTTTTCGATCTTTCGATTTTTATTTTTTGGATTTTCAGTTTTTCGGTTTTTAAACTTTAGATTTTTCAATTTTTTGACTTTTCGATATTTTAATTTATCTATTTTTAAAATTCTAGATTTTCCGATTTCTCGAGTTTTCAGTTCTTCTATATTTTAATTTTTCAATTTTCTGGATTTTTGAAATTTTTGATTTTTCGACTTTGGCCTATTTCGGTTTCTCAATTTTTCGATTTTTCGACTTCTCGACTTTTCGACTCCTCCATTTTTCGATTTCTCAATGTCTCAGTTTTTGAATTTTTCGCTGTTTCAATTTTCGATTTGTCGGTTTTTCGATTTTTCAATGTTCCGATTTTTCAATTTTCTAATTTTTTAAATTTGCGAGTTTTGATTTCTGGATTGATTTGGATTTCTGCATTTTTCAATTTTACAATATTTTAATTTTTCATTGTTTTAAATTTTAGACATTTCGATTTTTAGATTTTTCACTTCTTCAATATTTTTTAATTTTTCAAATTTTGACATTTCTGAATTTTCAAATTTTCCGATTTTTCAATTAATCTATTTTATGGTTTTTCCATTTTTCGACTTCCCAAAGTCTCGAACATTCAGTTCTCCAGTTCTTAAATTTTTCGGTTTTTGAGGTTTTGGATTTTTCAATTTCTCAATTTTTCAATTTTTTAATTTCCCAATTTTTGGATGTTTCGTTCAATTTTGTAATTTTTCAGTTTTTCGATTATTCAATTTTCAATTACTTGATTTCTCTATTTCTATTTTTTGGTTTCTAGATTTTCGATTTTTCGGTTTTGTGAATTTTAACTGTTTTGATTTTTCGATTGCTCGATTTTTGATTTTTAGATTTTTTGATGTCTTTATTTTTCGATTTCTCTATTTTTTGGTTTTTTGTTTTTCGATTTTTCCTTTTTCTCATTTTTAGATTTTTCAACAATTCAATTTTTGCCGTTTTTGATTTTAGTGTTTTTGGTTTTTTCGATTTTTCTTTTCAGTGTCTAGACTCTCGATTTTTCGTCTTTTTGATTTCTCGATTGCCGAAAATTCAATTACTCGATTCCTCAGTTTTCCTCGATTTCTTGATTATTCGATGTTTCCATTCTTGGATTTCTCGATTTCTTTATTTTTTGGTTTTTACACGTTTCAGTATTTTGATTGTGGGTTCTTCCATTTTTTTGATTTTTCGAATTTTTGATTTTTCGTATTCTTAATTCTCGATTTTTCCTTTGCTCTATTTTCAATTTCTCGATTTCTCAATTTTCGATTTTTTTGGATTCTGGATTTTAGATTTTTCAATTTCGCGAATTTTAAATATTTTGATTTTTCGATTTTTGAATTTTAGATTTTTTGATGCCTTCATTTTTCGATTTTCCTATTTTTTGTTTTTTTGTTTTTCGATTTTTCAATTTTCTAATTTTTAGATTTTTCAACTATTCAATTTTTGCAGTTTTTGATTTGAGAGTTTTTGGTTTTTTCGATTTTTCATTTCAGTGTCTAGACTTTTCAATCTACCGATTTTTCGTTTTTCCGACTTCTCGATTGCCCGAAAATTCGATTATTCGATTTCTCAGTTTTCCTCGATTTTTTGATTATTCGATTTTTCGATTTTCCGATTTTTCCATTTTTGGATGTCTCGATTTTTTATTGTTCGGTTTTTACACGTTTCAGTTTTTTGATTGTGTGTATTTTCCATTTTTTTATTTTTCGAATTTTTCGTTTTTTCATCGGTCCAATTTTTCTATTTTTCGAATTTTTGGTTTTTCGTATTCTTATTTCTCGATTTTTCGTTTGCTCTATTTTCAATTTCTCGACTTCTCAATTTCCGATTTTTTTGGTTTCTGGATTTTTCGATTTTTCAAATTCTCAAATTTTCGTTTTTCCTTTGTTAGATTTTTAAATTTTTTGAATTTTCCATTTTGCGTAGGTATTCTTAATTCTCTATGATCTCTATGGTCAGGTCAGGTCAGGTCATCAGTTCTTCTCTATTTCAATTGTTCAAGTTTCCGAATTTTTAAATTTTCGATTTTCTTTTTTTTTAATTTTTCGAATTTTCATTTTTTGTTATTTCTCGGTTTATCGAATTCAGATGTTTCGATGTTTCGATTTTTGGATTTCTCGGATTTTGATTTTTTACTTTTTAGCTTTTCAATTTTTCGATTTGTCGATTTTTAGTTTTTCGTTTTTTAAATTTTAGATTTTCGAAATTTTATTTTTGAATTTTTTGATGTCTGGATTTCTCGATTTTTCAATTTTGCAATATTTTAGTTGTTCAATGTTTTAAATTTTAGATTTTTCGATTTCTCGATTTTGTTTTATTTTTCAGTTTCTCAGTATTTCTATTTTCCAATTTTTCAAATTTTGATGTTGCTAAACTTCCAGTTTTCCGATTTCTCAATTAATCTATTTTTTGATTTCCCATTTCTCTTCAATTCTTCGATTTTTCGACTTTGCTTTAATGGTTTTTCGATTTCTCAATTTTCTACTTTTCTAATTTCTCAATTTTTGGATATTTCTTTCAGTTTTGGGATTTTTCAATATTTCGATTCTTCGACTTTTCGGTTTTTCGACTTCTAGATTTTTTGATCTTTCGATTTTTATTTTTTGCATTTTCAGTTTTTCGATTTTTAAACTTTAAATTTTTCAATTTTTTGACTTTTCGATATTTTAATTTATCTATTTTTAAAATTCTAGATTTTCCGATTTCTCGAGTTTTCAGTTCTTCTTGGGTTTTTCCATTTTTCGACTTCCCAAAGTCTTGAATATTCAGTTCTTCAGTTCTTAAATTTTTAGATTTTTCAGGTTTTGGATTTTTCAATTTTTCGATTTTTCGAATTGGTTTTTTGACTTTTCGATTTCTCAATTTTTCAATTTTTTAATTTCCCAATTATTCAATTTTCAATTTCTTGATTTCTCTATTTCTATTTTTTTGTTTCTAGATTTTCGATTTTTCAGTTTTGCGAATTTTAACTGTTTTGATTTTTCGATTTCTCGTTTTTTGATTTTTTGATTTTCTGATGTCTTTATTTTTCGATTTCTCTATATTTGGTTTTTTGTTTTTCAATTTTCCCATTTTCTCATTTTTAGATTTTTCAACTATTTTTGCAGTTTTTGATTTTAGAGTTTTTGGTTTTTTCGATTTTTCTTTTCAGTTTCTAGACTTTTCAATCTCCCGATTTTTCGTTTTTCCGATTTCTCGATTGCTCGAAAATTAGATTATTCGATTCCTCAGTTTTTGTCGATTTCTTGATTATTCGATTTTTCGACTTTCCACTTAATTCTCGTTTTTCGTTTGCTCTATTTTCAATTTCTCGATTTCCCAATTTTCGATTTTTTTTGGTTTCTGGATTTTCGATTTTTCAATTTCGCGAATTTTAAATATTTTAATTTTTAGATTTCTCGATTTTTGATTTTTAGATTCTTTGATGTCTTAATTTTTCGATTTGTTTATTTTTTGGTATTTTTTGATTTTTCTATTTCCTTATTTTTAGAGTTTTCAACTATTCGATTTTTCCAGTTTTTGATTTTCGAGTTTTATAATTTTTCGATTTTTCGAGTTCTCAATGTTTCTTTTTTCCAATTTTGTTTTCTGTTTCTAGACTTCTCAATCTTCCGATTTTTCGTTTTTTCGAATTCTCGATTACCCTAATTTTCGATTTTTCCAGTCTTCAGTTTTT